ATTATTTTCTTCTGACAAAGGTTTTACCGCGTAACTTTTGGTATATTTTTGAGATGATAATTGTGCACATTTTGAGTATGTTCTAGAAGATTTTTACAGGGTATTTTGAATTCTGCTGAGTTTTATTTGAATAATAATTTATTTGGATGTCTGATATTGTTACTTCAGTACAGTAAAAATCTTATAATGTTGTTGTGGATATTCTGTGATAATTTGGAAAATTTCTGAATCTGTGAATTTTGTGTAAATTCCGTATACTGCCGTTATGCCGCTGATTTTTCGTACGAATTCTGATTTTTCTGAATTGATACATTGAATGAATTGAAGTGTTTGTATGCTATTAGAAGGGAGTTATAAGGGGCCAGGATCCTTTGAGATTCTGTAAGTGTTAGGGAATGGAGACATAAGGGGCCAGAATCCGTCGAGATTCTGTAAGTGTCAGGGAAGGGAGGCATAAGGGGCCAGAATCCGTAGAGATTCTGTAAGGGTCTGGGAATCTGAAATATGATATGTGATATGTTATCTGAAATCTGATATTTAATATCTGATAATCTGTGCTGTGACTTATCTGATCTATTTTATGAATTATCTTATTAGAATTATCTGATATGAATGTGATTTTATCTGATTTCTGATTTCTGTACGATTCTGGTTATTCCGTACGATTCTGTCTGCTCTGTGACTTGAAAGCTTTATGATATCTGTTCTGAACTCCGATTCGACATGTCTTTAATTTTCTGTATCAGTTGTTTGATTTATGTTGATCAAGTATCTGTTCTATGATTTCCGTACGGCTATTTTCTTATAATTTTGATTGGTGAGTGATGTCTTGCTGAACTGTGTTAGCTCATCCTTGTTTTCTGCGTGGTTTTTAAGTTCTGGGAAAGGGAAGGAGGTCTTAGACTAGAAGTTTTGTGTCTGATTTGAGATTAGGTATTTTGTACTTTTGATTTTTGATACAATCATGGCATTTCTGTTCTGTTATTTCTGTCTGAAGCCATGGATTGTATTATATATGATTGTTTTAATGAAAGAAAAGATAGATGAAATGTTATGTATTTGGATATTTATAGTAGCTCTGTGTTTTTTTGTATATTTAATATTTGGAAGAAAGTTCTGAAGCAAATTTCAAAGCTAGATCCTGGATTTTCAACAGTTCCGTCGCGACCCGATGCGAACGAGATCCGTCCCGGTCGGGTTGGGTTGTGACAGGGAGTGTGCATGTGTTTAGTTGGGTGAGTGAACCGTGAGTGGGGTTAGGGAGTTATGCGAAGAGTTATGTGAGTGTTGGTATTTTAGGGATTTTTTTTTTAATCTCTCTTATTATTATTATTAACAGTTATTCAAAATCAATTTTTTAAATTAATTGTGCGTCGACTCGGCCATCGTTACATCGTTGTCATCGTCGTTCATGCACATCAACTAGTTTTGCACGTGTAAAAATTTAAATTTTTATCGATCGACTTCTTTAACTAATATGGGTGTCAATCTTAGCTATTTTTGTTGCTCTAGAGGCATCAGCACAATCTGTTTGGCGTACGGAGATCATTTCAATGATTATAATTTTCGGTCGACGCATATCGAGTGAGTTATGCACGATGTCGCGCTCTTTTGGTTTCGAAACTCACCTTGCATAGTCGACTCGATTCTGACACTAGTATTGAGATCCACAACACTGAAGAGGTTTGAGTAATTACAGTTACAGTAAACTGTCTTGGGAGATGAATCATCAACCATTAACTGAATGCAAGAAGACTTATTGTTGCTTCGAGTTGTTTCTTCCTTAATTATGAATCATCAAACTAATTTCAAGCTCCTGAGCAAGGTGACAGCAGCATAATTAGGTAATTAAACGGCACAAATTAAACCAACTTTGATTACTTGGGGCTTAATTAGCCTCTAAAGTCTAAATTAAGGTGGACATCGAATATTAGAGCATTGAATTATACATAGACTTCAAGGTATGGCTGCACAAACTACCACAACGAATGAACAAACAAGACTGTAAACTTTGAAAAGACCACCTTCCATTTAATGAACATTAAACATTTTTACCTGGTACAACATTCCAAGCCAAATTAAAAAAAAAAAGGAAGAATAACATAGGTTGACATCACCTTAAAAGAAAATAGGGATCAAATTCTTCCCAGCCGGAGTTGTAATCTTTTGGCTCCAAAGACTCTAAACCAAGAGAAACCCCCAACCTTTCAACCAATTTAATTAATTTAAGAAACAAATTTGATATTAGAAGATTTTGGAGAAATGGTCTCATAATTTTCTTAAATTCAGAAAACTTGGATAAATACAGCTCATCTAGATCTCTCACGCCCTCAGATGATAGAAAAAGGACATAAAGGCCAAGTAGAAGGGTATAGAGTGATATAAAAGCATCCTTGTGGTTTCCTATGCCTCCAATCCAGTCCTTATCTCCCTCTGTCGCAAGGAAACCATCAGCAAATGATATCAGTTGATCTAAGAATCTTAGTCTCCATCTCCGCAATAATTTCACCCAGAGGCCTTCTAATCCTGGAACTAGTAGTTTTTCCAAATGAAAACAACAGATTTGGCATATCAAGAGCTTTTCTTCATGGTGGTTATCAATCTCTTTTTCAAAAATCTTCCGAACCAGATCGCCATGAAAACTCACAGAGCCAGCAGCCACTGAAACATATCTCAATAAATATTCTATGTACTCGAGCCAGTGGCTAAAGATTTTGGATAAGAACCCAAGGATTAATTCAATCACTTGATCAACTTGTCTTGGAACCTCGAAGCCTCTGGAATCGACGTATTTCTGAACATCCATGGCAATATTCTTCCTGATCAAAATATCCTCATCTTCCAAGAGCTGAATGCATAGGAACCATAAATCTAGAATTCTGCTAGCATAGAGATTCACGAACTCTGGAATATCAGCTTGAAGCTCTTCTTCTTCGATAACATTAGCTGCTTCAGATAGGACACAGTTGTTTGACACATGTGAAGCAACAAAAATGGCTTCTTCAAGCAATCCTGAAGCTACAATGGCTTCTGCAGCAGCTCTCCTCATGTTAACAGGTTCAGAAGGCGCACTGCGCTGTTTAGTTAGTATAATGAAAGAATTAATGCATTTAAAGGCTCTGGTAATCTCTCCTTGTATCTGATGCTCGTCACCTGATGTAATAAAGCTCCTAAGCATTTTCGCAAACCTCTTTGTGCATATAGCCATGCAACAATGTAAAATCTCTCTAGTCTTTGCACGCCTTACTGTATCCTTCAGATGAACTAACGTATCCCAGAAACAGAATGCTGTATTCCAATCCATAAATTCATTGGATTGAAGGGCACGGCAAGAGAAGATGATCTTTAACATGTAGTAAATACACTTTGGGTTCTCTTCCTTTGATAATAACTGAATCAGAACAGACTGTAAATTGGTCTTCACCCATATGCAAATGGCGGTTCTCTCATCATCGCTCCCAGAAATCATAAAGTTCACAACTTGGAGAAGCTTTTTAAGCGTTATGATTCTAACTTCATACATAGAATCAGAGATGCAGGAAACTATCCTTTCCTGAAGTTCTGAGACAGGAATATTATTTGAAGGTAGCTTACTCGGGTTAAAGGTAGACTTACTAAAATTCTGCAGCGCAAAACATTTGTTTGGAGCTTCATTTTTTGTACCAAATAGGCAACTGAAATAGGATGCAGCTGCTTGCTTGCGGAGCTCAACCATTGTTGGGTCAGATAAAGCAGGACCAGAAATATTTTTCTCATTCATGCATTCAAATGCTAGATTCATCAACAGGGTTTGAATGGCTATAGTATGCTTGCTTGAGTAGGACAATGCAATGCTACTCATCTGATCCAAAACTGTTAGATATAAACTATTCAACAATGGACAAGGACATGACCGGGTGCTACCAATCCATGAACGCCACCTAAGTGCGTCGATGACTTCGCCGATAATGTCATCTTTCTTCATAATATCAGTCAAGTTCATGCAATTGTTATCAAGAAGAGAAGATAGCTGCAAGAGAATTCCATGTATTGAGTTAAAAGAAAAGTTGGTTCTTGCCATCAGATGCCTTTCAAGCGGCAAACTGCAGGCCGCGTCAGTGATGACACCCTGCAGCTTCTCATTAGAAACTAAACCAATCAAAGCCCTTGCTGCAAGAACACGAACGCGGAGGTTGTTTTGGGTTCCGCATCTCCGTATAAAAGGCATAAGCATAAAGGGATCTAGAAGATCATCAGCTCCACTGCTGATAAGAGATGGATTTAGCCTGGATAGGAGAATGAGGATTGGACACAAGCTTGGATGAACAGATTTAGTGATGTTCAATACTGCATCCATGGAATATTCATCACCAAGTTGTTTTGTGGCGACCTCCAGTTCACTGCACAAAAATGGATGAAGAGCTGGGTACCTTCAAGAGAGAAAAAAAGGGGGTCAAATCTTAAATGTAACAGATATATATATAGGAACCTTATTAAAGCATAACATAGAACTGAATTTTCTTCCAGATCATGGTCAATAAATCCTCATCAAAACCTTGAAGATTTTATGCTACATAGTAATATTTCCTTATGATTGAAGATATTTTTCTTTCTTATATTGGCTTTAGATATAGATGTACTATGATTACAATTCAATAAAAATGTAGTCCTTTACAATTATATCTCCCTTTCAAAAACCTTAAAAAATAAAACTTAAAAGTATAAAAGTTCTCCATTTGATAGAGGGAGAGCTCTATGAGCTGCTACACTCTTCAATAATACATTATTACCGATAAAAAACTTTATTAAAAGCAACTAATAGTTACTTACAAAGTAGTAAATCTGTAAGTGATCGATAATGTGCTATACTTGCAATGCCTAACACTGAAATAAGTGTCAAATAATTTATACGCTTAAGGCGTAATACAGAAGTTCACCATAGTAAAATAGATACCTGTGGAAGAATTCAAGGCCAGTTAATGCCCGTCTTGAAGATTCTCGTTTATGAACATTAAGAAATCCAACCATACGACGAACCAATGAAGTATAAGCAAGACAAGCACTATTCCGGACCTCCCAGTGAGGAGATGAGAAAGAACGTATTGCAACAATCAATGCCTCGGCACAGAAACCAGAAGTGTCCGACGCTAAATTTGTGTCATTGAAAGAAGCTCTGAGCACATTGAAAGCATGAACAGTTGGTATTACACCCTCGTTTCTCATCTTAGAGGCGTTTCCATTTGCTTCATTATGATCCTCGATAAAAATCTTGTGCGGTACTTCTTTATTCTGGTTACTTCCTTCACAATCTTTGCTCAATGACATTTTAGCAACATTAATCAGCCAGCTCAATGCTTTTGGTAGTAGCATTTTTGGAGTTCCCTCTGGCTCTGACAGGAAAAATGCAATAAAGGCAGCAGGAATTCCTGCACTCCGCCTTAATAAATCATCAACAGTTTGCCCTTTAGCTATTGTTCTCTCCATCAGCTGCCCCATCCAAGCGTCTATCATTTTGCAAAGCCTGCAGAACAAAGAAAATGTATCCATATGTCATTTTCTAGTTCAAGTATTGATGCTACTATGGTGCTAAACACTTTTGTTTTCCTACTTCTAGAGTTTCCTGCACTTAATTTGGCCTTTCAAGAAGAACATAATAGAGAAGAAAGAAGATGAGCAAAATCTAAGTACCACCAATTGTATTATTACAATGGAACCAGCAAAAACTTAAGCGAAATAAAAATTGGCCATTAGGCTCTTCGCCAATTGTAAGAATGTGCAACATGAATGGCATATGCAGCTTAATACTCTTCAGATAAGCATTATATTAGAGCCTTTCATAATGTATGCAAATAAAAAAAGACCAGTAAATTGCCTTTTTTCTTTGAATTATAGGCTAGGTGCCACCTTAACCCCATGTGCAAGCAGCTCTTCTATTTTTTTATGAAACATTGAAGTTAAATATTTTTGAAGTCGACCAGATTACCATTTAGAGGCTTAGGAATGGGGCTGATATCCTGGGAAATTTCAAAAATAAAATAAAAATAGTACTAAGCGAGAATAAAATAAAAATAGGACTAACGCTCGTGATAATCATTTACTTGCTATTTACAGAAACATCAAAGCGGCTCTAAAAGGAATCAATTGTAAGAAATGAAGGTTAATAAAGTCAACATTAAATGTAACTCCCAGTGATGAATAATTTTGATTTCTCAAAATGGGTACAATTTTATATAATTCAGTTTGATAATGACATTTTTAAAGTTGCAAATCGTAAGTAATGCAAAAGAATCACAGGAGATAATTCCATTTCTAATTTTGGATCTACTGCAAGGAGAACCCCACAAACCATTTCAGAACCAATATATATAAATAAGTCACAGCCAAAAATTCAATCAAGACAAACCAGTCAAACATACCTAGGATCATTTGAGCATAGAAGACGATTGCAAAGGGCAGTGAAGCCTGCCCTGGTCTTATCAATTGCACCATTGTGTTTCATCTTTAACAGAACTTGCAAGAAATGGCTTCCTATTGATTCCAGTTGTTGCAAATCAAGCAATCCATCTTCAGTTACAATCACGTCTGTATCATCACCATTTCTAACAGGATAATCATGCATAGATGATTCAAATAAAGAGCAGCTTGGCAATGGAACTTTCCTAATGATTGTTCCTAAGAGAAGACTCACCTGAAAAAATAATAATAATTAAAAAAAAAAAAACATGGCGATTTCAATGTTGACTGTTTATAACTTCTCCCCTTAAAAACTATGCCAACATAGCCTAAAAATTTAGTAACCAGAAAAACATAGTAAAAAAAAAAAATCAGCATCCAAGAAATTGGTGGAAAACAATTTATAAACAACAGAATTATTGTAAGAGAAATAAGAGAAATTCTTATTGCGGACTACGTACATAACTCTACGAACTACATGCATAGCTCGAGATGTAGACAATGAAAGTATACAACTGTAGTCTGTATACTCATTGTATATTCCAACCTGATGAAGCACATAGCACGTACACAGCAGTGGAAAGCTTAATTATCCAATTAAGACTTCGTTTGGGATGGCCTTTTAGCTGCTTTTTAAAGCAGCATTTCAATACAAAATTAAAATATTTGTACTAGAAAATTGCTTTAAGAAGCAACAAGAAAGCCGTCCCAAACAAAACCTAAATGAAGTAAACAATAAATACGCATCTATGTACTCTCATGCTACGCATATATAGAATTAAATACATAGTCCGCACATAATAATTTCTCAATAAATATAAACATGAATAAGAGATGTGCTTCACCTCTTTCATTGCAAGCCAACAACCAACCATAACAGCATGTTCTGCTGGTTTTTCATTATTATCATATTTCTTAACTGTGTACACTTGTTCTAAAGAGGACTCTATTGAATCCATCCCCAACGAGGAATCTGAAACAAAATTAGCCTCATCAATCACATCATCCATGTCATATGGCATATACCATGCATCTGCAGAAACCACCCAAAGGGCCAATGAAGTCACTCTCATAATCAACTCCAAAAGATTCTGAAGTAAGCATCTAAAATCCATGCTACTTGACACTACTTCCTCGGAATTCCAATCCAACTCCTCAAATGTGTACCGCAGAGTAAGCAGTACCCCATGAACAAAACTGTTTCTGCATGCTTCAGAGAGATCTTTTTCGCCCTCTTCAACAGAAACACGAAGCCATTCAATAAGTGCGTATATGTAAGCCAAAAGTGGAGCCTTTCTGCTGAAAATGTTTGAACCACTACTCATAAGATGTGACTGGGAATCAATTTGAGCGCTACTAAGAGAATTTTGAATATTCCATCCAAGGTCCATGACATATTTCCTAAATATTAGTCGAAAGGTCAAAGCACCAGCATCACTCTCCCTAACACGTGGACTGTAGACCAGTCTTTTTGCCCAATGAATTGCCATGTTCACAGTATCATGAGAAGAAATACCAGGAAGAGGAGTGGGAAAACATAGGAGAATGCGGAAAGAATTTTGTCTTAATTTATCCCAACTATCAATTATAGATCCAACTAACAACAAAGTTGAATCTGCAGAAATCAATCCTTCACTGTAAGGACAGATATTATGATTGTCTTGCAACATCTTTGGAGGCCAAACATCCATCATTACAATGATTAGCTCCATGGCCATTGTTTTCCTCTCATATGGGGCAGAAGGGTAACATGAATAAAAGAGAAAGCTACTCAACCACTTCATGAACTGGAAAAGATGTTCTGCCCTATGGATCACAGATACACCAGACAAATCAGCAGTTGAAATGCTCGCACCACCATTGCACGTAACAGGCTTCCATAGACCTTGTTTTACCTGCCTCTCTAAAGCTAGCCTCACCCGAACAAAGAACTTCCTGAACAAGCTTGTCCATTTCATCTGAAACGCTGTTGAAGAACTGCGCATATTCAAAGGAACAGCCTCTCTCATCAACATAAGCTCTAAAGAGGACGGGAGACTGGCTGATTTGGGATTCAAAAACAGAGACTCTGCCGCATCAATCCGTAAGCATTCATCGGCATGTGTCAAAGCAAGAATTAACCAGTCAACAAGCACTCTAACATTAGTCCCTTTTAAGCAAACAACAGCAAAACCTCTGGAACCGCATGGCTCGTTCAAAGAGTCCGGCTCCAGATCAATATCCCCCTCTATAAGAGCCAGTGTTCTAGACACCTTGAGCAAGGAAACAACAGCAGCTACACATGAATCAAGCTTCAGATCCACAGTTAATTCTCCCTTGAAGAAAGGCCCGAGGGATATGAAAGAAAACATTGGAAATATGCTATCTGAATCAACCTCAAGCAAGGCAGGGAGAGCATAGGTATTCAAGTTTGTTCGGAGTTTTGAATTTCCAGATACAAGCCCTTGCAACAAGGGTGGAAGACATAATTTTCTGAAAGTTGCATATCCTTCTTCAATACCATCATGGCTCCAGCAGTCATCGCGCAAACATTCAAGAAAGCATTTTAGAAATAATGTGACAGCACAACAAACATCATCATCAATATAACCATAAATAGTTTCAAAAAGAAGGTTTGGATTTAAATCTAGAAGAGACTTTGACCCCAACCGTTTTCCTAGAGAAGCTAAAGGCACATACTTGCCTTTACAACGAGCTCCCAACCGAAGAAGGTCTAAAGCAATCTTGCACAAGAAGGCTCTATTATTCTCATTGCCATCTTTTGATGGAAGAGATAATTTGATATCCAAAAGAAGATCAAATATGAGATGCACCTGCTTTACAGTTTGACTTAGAGGATCTTCAAGATTATTCCAAATAACCCGAAGCAAGCGGCTTGTCATCTCCTCAGGAAGAGGATCATAATCTCCTGAAACATTAGTTAGACCTACCAATATTGATGTTTTCATCTGCTGTAAGCAAATTTGTAAAACCGTCAATGCATGAAAATTGAAATGTCTGTCAATTGGTTTTTCGCAATATTGGCAAAGCTCCGGCAAAATTGCATTATAAAGTAGAGTCCATATACTACCATTGGCTGATTTGAAGTTGACATTGAGCACAGGCCTAGATACAGCAGTTAGTATACCTCTCAGCAAGCAAAGCCTGCTCAAAATTGAGAAGCCTCGTATCTCAAAACACAAGTTCCCAGCAAACTCCATGATATTTCTATCTACACCAGAAAAATCAAAGACTGCTTTAGATAGAAAACATGAGACATCCTCGGATCTTACACGAGCCTGAATTGCAGCACAAAAGCTCACACCAGCAGCTACCAAGCAATCCCTTGAAAAGGCCGATGACTTCAAAACACTCAATATGACATCAACAATTTCTTCAAATGTGTAGAAATCCTCCTCTGGGACCGAGAAGGTATGTGGGAACTTCTGAAGCAAGTAGTACAAGCAAGACATGGCGTCTTGGCATTGCTCCATCACCAGTGGAGATGGTCTAGATCCACGATCAACGTCCAAAATCACGCCGGCCAAACCAGAAGCAATATCAGTTGCCACCAAGATCGAACATTTCTCCACTGCTTCATTTAAAAATCCCAATTTGGGATAACCCATCAAAGATAAAGCTGCTCGGGAAACCAAAAACCTCCTTAACCCTTTTTTACATAAATCCCCATACTCCTTGCAAAGAGCAACAAAGCAGCTACAGATCACTGAAAAAAACTTCTTGTTTTTGGAAAGAGGGGAGATAAGGGTTCGGTGGAGAGGGAAGGAGTTCTCAAGAAAGAGTATTTCAAGATAAAGTCGGATGGCGGTGGAGACCACGCCTTCCTGTATATATGGTGAGTTCAGCAATTGGGTAAAAGATGAAGATAGGTCCTTCGCGGCAGAGATTTGCGAGTAAGTGGAGTTCAGAAAAATGAAATCCTTCAATATAGCGAAGAAATTGAAGGAGGAAAAGGCTTCTTGGGGGAGGAGATTGAGGGTTTCGATGTAGGGTTTTGGAAAAAGCACCGAATTGTAGGTGTAACGGTGTCTGTGCTGTATGGCTCGCCATTTAGCCGACATCTTTTTGTGCAAATTATCAGTATCAGAAATCAAAAATCGAGTTTTTATCTTGTTCAGCGTTGGAAGATCGAAGCATTTAGACTGGATTTGGTTAAGGGTCTAGGGAGCTAATAAAGGAATGAAACAAAAGATGAGGACGATGTAGGTGTGTAAAACATCACCTCGGTAATTTGAAGTGATTGTACAGTTGTGCTGATTCCCTTCTGAAAAATTTCTCCCTATTTAAAATCTGCGCAATTTCCCGCCGCGGGAAGGGACGGGAGTAGATATCGGGCCGCTGGAGGTAGTGAGGATCTTTTATAAGATTATGCGAAGCGTCTAGGGTTAGAAGCTATAAATTTTAAGAAATGTAAGTCAAGCAAGCCAAGACAGGGCGGCAAACGTCACGAGTTGTTTTTCTTTCAAGGGGCTGTTTGTTGATTTCAGATTTACTTCAGCAACCTCCTCCTGGCTATGTTGATGTGCAATAATTTATGTCTCTTGGCCGTTGGAGACTTCAGAATATTTTGCCCCATCATATTATGCACAAAATATCCTCTGTTAGAATCATGGATTGTCCATTTGTCCTGCTGATATAATTACCTCAAATGGGAATGAAAAGTCATGTTTTAGAACTTTAGGCTGCATCATTTTCCTGATATGCCGCAAATTCTCTGACACAAACACATTTAGCATAAAAGGTTTGCTCTCAGGTATTCTGCTTTTGCTTGGTTGGCAGCTCGTGGTGGGTTAAAAACTGCTGAGATGTTAAGCAAAAGAAACATTCACATTCATCCCACTTGACCTCTTTTCCTTTTGGAGAATAAAAGTATCACTCATCTTTTGTTTCAGTGCGATTTCTCTTTTATTATTTTGTCTACTCTTCTACCGCACTTGGATGGTTTCCTCTTCAGGCCCTCGATGTTGCAGCTCTTTGAATTTTTGGATGATGTGCAGCATTTTAATGCACTTGAGAATAATTTTTGTTTCTTGGTTATTTGCTGCTTGGTTTATTTTATATGGAGTGAAATGAATGATAGACAATATGCTGGAATTCAAAGTGCCCCTTATTCGATTTGACGCAAAATCACTAAGGCAATCCAAGCAAAAGTTTCTCATTGGAAAAATTATGATTTGTTGCTCTCTTTTTTTCCCCTATGTCTTAGCAACAATTTGCATCGGTAACTGCCGGCTAGGAGTTGGTTTTTGACTGGGCTATGATGATTGGAACCAACCTTTTTTGCCACTCCCCCTGGATGACCTCGACACTTTGTGTCCTTTTGTTCTGCAATTGGCCTGACATCTTCATGTACCCTACCGAATTTTTATTCCTTTCAGTTTTGATGGCAACCAGGGGTATCTTCATGTTTAGTAGCTGCTCTTCTGCGGGATTTTTCTATGCTAGATTTGGTTGGTTCCCCATATACCTGAGCCCATATGCGCCCTCTCTATTGCATTTGACGTTTTTTATGTTTTATGATGCTTCATTTTGGTTCTTTTTGACACAGCTCTCTTGGTTGCTAGAGCTTTGAGTTAGGGCTTTCCTTTTTAACTGTTTTTTTATAACCCATTCTTTTAATATACTAGCTAAGCCCAAATTTTCCCCAAAAAGAGGTTGTTTGTGTTGCTCAGAAGTTACTATATTAAAAAGAATGCAATTGAAAATTATTGTTTGGAGTTTTTTGGAACTGCAATTTCATCAGGTTTCTGTTGGACCGTTGGGATACTTGATACGTTGTCAAAAAATTATCTTGATCGGGCACAAATCTCAATGCAAAATCAAGTTGGAAACTTCCAAAATTAAAATTGGGACCATCCAAACTCCGATTTCAGCAAACTTATAGTCGAACTGAACGTTTCAGAAATATAAACCTAACGACACCAAAATCAACTCAATCCGAGCCCAAATAAGTCAAAATCAATAATCCGAAGCACTGTTGGAAAGTTCGTACCACAGTTTGAGTTACCAAACGATTTCCAAACATGACGAGTTTATAGTCAAATCGAGTGGCTCGACGAGACGAATCCAACGAGCTCAAGATCCAAGAATTCTAAAATCATTAAGACCTCCAAATGTCTGATGAATGATACATGATCAAGGGATTCAATATCGGCCTTCCATCCAACCACTCCACATTTATCCTAGATCTCTCGCCTATTTACGGGTCATGCCACTCCATAAAATCTATAAATAGACCCCTCATTTCTCTTGAGAGGGGATCCAAGCAAGAAGAGAAGCAATAAGAGAAGAAAATAATAAAAAGAAGAGAATGAAGAAGCTTCTCCTCGACCACCGTCTGAGTTCGCTGGGCCACCGTCTGAGTTCGTCGGATCACCGCCTAAGGCCCTCGCCTTCTCCGGACCACCACCTGAGGCCCTCGCCTTCGCTGGACCACCACCTAAGGCCCTCACACTCGTCGGATCACCGCCTGAGACCCTCGCACTCATTGGATCACCGCCTTAGGCCCTCACCCTCATCGGATCCCCGCCCAAAGGCCTGAACTCTGTCAGACCAACATTTGAGGCCCTAAACTCCGCTAGACCATCAATTGTAGCCAGAATTCTGCCAAGTCACTGTTAGAGTACTAACTGACGCCCCAACTTCCAAGTGACGCCATATTTTACACTAGATTTCAACCATACGGTTGACATTTGTAATATGATCGCCCTCTGGGACGAGTCAGCCCACTGTGATAAACTCAAATTCTAGTCAAATTTTTTCAACTGGGCTAGGCCCCGTGGTTTTTCCCTTTTTCTAGGGTTTTTCACGTAAAAAATATTGTGTTCTCTTTGTGTGAGATGGATATCCGTGCAATGCTAAGACGTAAAATTATAACTCTATTGCCGTGTATATTCTAGCCCGCAACAATACTAATCAACCCTCACATTGTTATAATTGTTCTTTTGGTATCCCCCTTTAGAGTAACTCCTCATTTATCTTGTTAGAATTAAATGTAAATACTTGAGGGATCTCTCACTACAAATCAATGGGGTCTTTGATTTCTTTCCTTTTTGTTGTTTTCATGTATGAATCGATATTGATAGAAGCATTGTCCTTTTCACTTTATAAAAATATTAGATGTATCTCATTATAATTCTAATTCACTCCTCACACTTTTTTTTTCATTATACAACGAAGAATCGTGAAAATACGAAAGCCAAAGAATTCTAAGACTTTCTTTTCAATTAATAAATTTTATTTCATTTTTTATTGAATCCAAAAAAGAACCACCAGTTTGGTTTATTGATCTTTAATAAAAATGCAGAGTTTTTTTTTTTTGTATTGAGAAGATATAGATAGCATTTTTTATACTTGCATGTACTTTTTTATTTCCTCTTTAATTAATTCAAGATGCAACTGTCACGACCCAACCCGACCGGGACGGATCCCGCTCGCATTAGGTCGTGGCCAGACTCAATCTGATTGAACTGATTCCAGGATCTGGCTTTGGAATTTGTTTCAGAATTTTCTTCCAAACATTATACACAGAAACAGACACACAGAGCTACTATAACATCAAAATACAGCGGAACAGATCATCTATCTTTTCTTCCTCAAAAGAATCATATACAAATACAGCTCATGGCTTTCAGACAGAAGGAAAAGCATAACAGAAAAGTCACAATAGTGGCGGCAGCTCTTTAGGTTGGGCAATGACAGGTGGCTAGGTGGTGGATATGCTGGTAGCTGGCGGTGTAGAGATTATCGATGGTTGATAGTTGTGGCGGGCGGCAAGTGACTACAACACAATCAGCTGGTGGCAAAAGAAGAATTTGATCAAAATTGGACGAGCTTGCAATACATTAAAAATAAATGGAGATGTAAAAAGAAATTTATTAAAATTTATACCGTATTTTTTCATCAAACCAAATATCTATTTTTCAATATCACCTATATTCTTTTTATTACGCATTCCTTTGCAGCATTGAAGATCTCACCACTATCTTATAAATCTTTCCTTTAAGTTTGAGGGGTACTTATCTATTACAACGATATAATTGAAAACAATATTTATTTTTATGTGCATGACATTATTTGAATTTAGTAGATCTTTTTCTTGCAAATTGTATGTAAAGCTATCACTAGTCATATGTTCATAGAGGAATCATTTTATTTTCATGGGATTGATACCAACTTTTTCTAAATTCAACATGTTATGATAAAATCAATTATAGATACATTTACATATATAAAATGACAATTATAAATAACTAATGTCATTTAGATATGTATTAGCATACTTGATGTAGGGAGAGATGGATGTGTTAGCATAGAATTGAATTGGTTGTTATTAATTTTCACATAGATGATTATGAACATAATGATACTATAAACTACCTTGAAATAATAATAATATTTCACTAATATCATACAATATTACTCTAATATTGTCACGTTGTAGAATTTAATTTGAATTCTTTCTTTCTTTTATCTTTTATTATACAACAATCAGAGCTATCTAATTCATTTATCAGTAATAAACAAACTAAATAAATTTTATATTCAAAACATCAATACACATCTATATTTATTGAAAAAAAATCATATACAATACTCATGAATTAAATAATCACAACATATCCTTTTATTTATGGGTACAAAAGAATAACTAAAACAAAAAGAAATAAAACCTAAGGAATCTTAATTAGTCTCTCACTCCTAAACTTTTTTTCCTAACATGAAATCATTTAAACTACATATAATGAGTTAAACAACGGAATGCCGAGAGAGAGGGTCTTCATCCCGAGTAAAACGAAACTTTCTGCCGAGAAAGGAAGCCCGCCAAACGTCGTCCCCTGCTCTAGCTTCCGAAAATGCCATAAACAGCTATCGTCGTTGCTCGAAGTCTGCCCGAGCTGCAGAAGATCACTGAGGCGCGATATTTCAGCCGAAACAAAGATTTAACCCAATCGCGGCCGTCGACGCAATTTCCGGTTTGAGGAAACAAATTCAAATAACTTGAAAAGTCAAGTGGCTCTTAATGGGATCAAATTGGGCTGAATCAGACTAAAATCGGCTAAGGTCGGGTTAAGCTCGAGTCCGAATTTGACTCGATTCGAGTCGAATTTGGTTCGAGCCGGTGCGACGAAATCAATCGAATGAAATTGGATTCGCATAAAGATCAGTTCAAATCAAATCAGGTACGACGCAACCAAAACAAATCAATCGAGTCTAATTGAACAAAGTCGAGTCTGATCCGGCTCGAGTCGAGTCGATTCGAGCTCAAATCGGTCTTGACCGGGTTCGATTAGCTCGGTCGAAAGTGCCCGAGCACGCTCGAGCCAAAAACGAGGTCAACAGTTGATAGGATTCAGTATACTGCTACTATATGATAATGCTTCTTTTTATGACTTTTACTGCATGCATTTGGTTTGAATTTTCAAGTTCACTTGTTATAATACTTTCCTCATTATTGATTATACTTTGTCATTTCTTAGTCCATCACCATATAAGTAGACATCGCAATAATATTATTTAATTCGATATTTTAAAGATTACGTTATGATTTGCATTAATATTTTATTGGCATAGATAGTTTTTGCTTAAGTAGTTATTTCTTTCGATTTCTTTTCTATTACTTATTGATTTACTTTTTTGCTTTACTCTTTATTGCGTGCTAGAATATACGCGGCGGTAGAGTTTGTAAATTTACGTCCTAACGTTGTACGAGTATTCAGCACACAAGCAGAAAAGAAAAGTGAACACCAAGGTTTTTACGTGAAAAACCTGAAAGAGGGAAAAAACCACGGGGCCTCGCCCAGTTGCAAAATTCCACTAGTATATGTTTGAAGTACAAAGGTTGATCCGTCTTACAAATCAAGACGATCAATTTACAATCAACTTCTCACAAAGTTACAAAGTTCTGCAAATTCCCTGCGTTTCCCGAAAATCTGGCAGAGTTCCGGCGTATTCAGGCGGCGGGAAGAGCTCCGGCGGTGGTCGAGGAGAAGCTTCTTCCTTCTCCTCCTTCTTCTCTTCTTCTTCTCTCTCTTCACTTCCCTTCCCTTTGTGTAGAATGAGGGCTCTATTTATAGTTTTTCTGAAGTGTCATAGCTCGTAAATAGGTGTGAGATCATGGGCGAATAGGGAGTGGTTTGAATGGACGGCCGATATTGAACCCTTCAATTGTGCACAGTTCATTGGACATTTGGAGGCCTTAATGATGTTGGAATTCGGCGATCTTGGGCTCGTTGGATTCTTCTCGTCGAGCCGCTCGATTCGAGCATAAGCTCGTTAAAATCGGAGACCGTTTGGTAACTCAAATTGAGGTTTGAACCTTCCAACAACGCTTTGGGTCCTTGATTCGGACTCATTTGGGCTCGGATTGGGTTGATCTTGGTGTCGTTGGTTCGTATTTCCGAGACGCTCAGTTTGACTATAAGCTCGCTGAAATCGGAGTTCGGGAACTCCCGAAATTAATTTTTGAAGTTTCCCACTAGCTTTTGCCTCGAGATATATGGCCGATCAAGCTAATTTTGTGATGCTGTATCACTCTTATTGTAGACTATATAAATGAAATAAAATATTATGTACATTATTTGTTTATTCTAACATATTTAGCTTATAATTATTTGTATATTAAACTTTGTTCTTATGAGTACAAAACATATTTGATTAATCATAATTTTTTTAAATTTTATCTTGAAAGTTGAGATTACTTACTTCATTGCATCACATGTTATATCTAGGTGTTACACATGATACAGTATAGTTGACCTAATTATGAGTGGTTCGTGCGTCTCAACACAATAACAATATGATGATGCGAGTCATTAGTGCAATTAGATTTAGAAACTACAATCATAATAACTAATATTAAATCTACTATTGCTTCAAAAAAATATTATTAGACCATACTCCCTAAATAAAATAATATTTAAAGTGAATTAATTTAGTGATTCACACTTTTATATGTGATCATTTTAATTTTATAATCATTGATATAAGGTATTATAAAATTCTAAATTTGTTGAGATTCTTTCAAGTGGATTTGGCCTTACACACGGGGTGCTATAACATAGCACAAATCATTGAAAATTTAAATTATTTTAATAAAAAAAAGAAATAAATTAAGCATTAATTTAATATTTATTTACATTAGGCTTAAATCATATAAAAATATATAAAGTTAATGCTATTAATACATTTAAAATTAAATATAATGTAAATTAATTTATAAATTAAAATGTTATGTATATAAATATTTAAAAATTATGACGTGTGTATTTTATTTTGAGAAAATAGTGGCGTATATGTAAATCATTCTTTTTTAATATTTTGATTAATTAAAGTAAACTCACACATATATATAATATATAAAGAAGATCTAAATTTAAAATCTTTTGATGGAGAACTAAATCCTGCTTCTAATTTAATATAGAAGGAAGAATCCAAAACCTCCAAAATCTCAGCAGTAGCTGACGCTGATCACATTTGAGCTCCAAATCCTTTTTTGAAATTCGCGTTTCTCCAAAAAGAAAAGGGAGCCGATTGCACATCACCCAACCAATCCCCTTCGCTATTTCATTCTCGCGCTTTATATTCGTTAGAAAAACCCTCGATTCTCTCAGCTCGCGCCTCATAGGTCTCCCGTCTCCGCCATCCCGCGCTTAAGGAGGTTACGGTTGCTTCGCCGACCTCTCGATCGACACTTCTCTTCTCGCGAATCCGAACGATTCTCGATTTAAACGAAATATCTTCTCATTGCTTGGCTTTCCGCACATTCTCGCAGGCTTTGTAGATTCCGCCCATCATTGCTTCAATCCCGATGGTCGCTGGGGTTGCGATTTACACGGGATATTGTTTTTGAGGTAGCGTACCGATTCTAGGTGCTTCGGCGAGGTTTGTTTGATCCTTAGGGTTTTTTTTATTCTTTGGGTTTGGAGCCATTCTCTTTATTCGTCAATGCAGACGCGTTTCGATTGAAGAGAGTTGCTGATTGCATTGTGATATTGACTTTGCTTTGGCGTTTTTTATGGGTTTTTAACTTTTAGAATATTGCTTTGCCGGTTTATTGGTTGTTCGAATACCTTACTGTTACTTTGAAACTTAGAAGAATTGATTTCTTTGGTATTTGGGTGGATTGAGCTCGTCTGAGCTTATTTTTGAAGTTAAAGGCATCTTCTTTTCGGACGGTGAATTAGATGGCAATCTCAATCGGTGCTGCCGAGATTTGATTTTCCAGTGGCTTCTTTTATAAAGCAGAATCAAGAATTTACTATTTGCAAGAAACTACCATCAACGTACCACGTGATTTCAGGATGTGGGTGGTTGATTCCCTGAAGAATGGTCCCATTGAGAGGGACGTTGAGCAGGTAAAAAAACATTATCTGTCTTATTTTTTGTCGACTAGTTTATTAATAGCTTGTGATTCCTTTGGTATAGAGTCTTATGAACTTTTTTGATCATTAATTTGAAAGTTAGCTTCAACATCTTTTATCCCACTACGTGTGGTCATCTATATTAATCTTTTTTCTCCATTGTGTATTATTAAGAGTCAAATTCTTTTTTAAATCTAATTAACAACGTCATTTTAATACTTTCTAAAGCCTTTTTAGGTTTACTTCTATATTTTTTTTAACATAGATTGGATTTAATACATCCAATCTTCTAACCAGGTCATTGGAAGAAGGATGCTTTATGTGACCAAACCATCTAAGACGACTATCTCTAATCTTATATGTCACTGGAGCTACTCCAACCTTTTCACATATGTACTCATTTCACATTTTGTCTCTAAGTGTCAAGCCACTCATTCACCTGAGCATTCTCATCTCTGTAACACTTAACTTAATTTTAGGGGTGTCAATTATTGACCAGACCTGAAGCTCACCCGAAAAATACAGGTTCGGGTCGACGGGTCTGGTTTGGGTTCCAATTTTTGATCCGTTTGAAAAATCAGGTCAGGTACGTATGAAACTGTTAACCCGAATTTGATCTGGTTTGACTCGAGTTCACTTCGGACCTTTCCAATCAACCCATGCGGGCGCCTCGCCTCGGACCTAAGTGATCGAGTCCCTTTCGGAGCTCGCGCTCGTTGCGCTCACACCCGTAGTTACTTAGGCCTACACGCGTAGTCCCTCAAGCAGCCCACCCGCAGGCCCGCTCCCTCCTGCACGGTCCCCCCCTCGCTTAGTCGCCAACAATTGAGCTCTCACCCACAAGTCGTGCACTCCCTCCCGTGCTGCCCCCCCTCACCTGTGCCTGCAGTCTCGCTCGCACAGGCACAACCCCGCACATGGCTTGTGCTCTACTCAAGTGCCGCACTCGCATTTTTCTATTAGGCTGGGTTAACCCGGTAACTCGGCGGGTTGGGTTCGGGTCTGAATTTCTAACCCATTTGTCTAATCGGGTAAGATTAGTTGAAGACGGGCCAGTTTTGGGTTTGACCCGAACCTGACCCAAAAACTCATTTTAACACCCTTAATTTTATACTTCTCTTTTAATGACCAACTTTTTTTTGCGCCATAAGCATTGAAGATCTCACCACTATCTTATAAATATTTCATTTAAGTTTGAGGGGTATTTTTCTATTACACAACAAGCCTGATGCATTCCTTCACTTCAACCATCCAACTTGAATTCTACTATTAATATTCACAATCTATTTCACCATCGCTTTGAACAATAGACCCGAGACATCAAAACATGCAGTCTTTTGCTGAAAAAAATGTTAAATTAAAAATTACCTAAATCCAACATCTCATATTTTTTTTTAAATTTAACATCCATGTAGTTTGTGCATCACCCATAAATGTAAATTTATTATATTTTTGTGAACAATAGATTATTGGCTTGTATTCTTCTTTCAAGGTGCAAACAATAAGGACTTTAATTATTGATGATGGAGCCAAGCGTTGGATATGCGTGCATGAAGCATGTTTCCTTGCCATAAGAGTTGACTTTTCTTCCAGAAATAGGTGAAATTTTAAATTGGAGTGAGTTTAAAAATTAAATTAGCGTAAGGAGCGTAATTGAGAAATAATTTAAAAAAGAAGTAGAATCGCCAATGTTTGACACATTTTGCATTCTGTGCATTCAACTTGAGAGAGAGAGAGAGAGAGACGGGAGAGAGAGAGAGAGAGAGAGAGAGAGAGAGGGATATTTATGTACTCTTTTATTTTTTGGTTGATTATATTTTGTAATTTTATTTTGGTTACCCTATGATGGAAGGCAACTGATGATCATGCTAGGTTGATGCTCTTAGGTTGTCTCTTCCATTCCGTCACTTTGTTGCTTTGGTTTCCCCTTGACAATTGTCCCTTGGATGCTATATGGATACTTCGGTTTTTCCCCCCTTGGTGCTTCAGTTTTCCCCTCCTTGGCAGCTGTGTTGTTGCTCCGTTTTTCCCCCCTTGGTGCTTCGGTTTCCCCCTCCTTGGCAGCTGTGTTGTTGCTTCGGTTTTCCCCCCTTTATGCTATGTGAATGCTTCGTTTTTCCCCATTGGCAACTGTCCCTTCGGTCCTTGTTTGTTGCAGTTTTGATCACTACAGGAAAACACGCGAATTACCGGCGGATGTGGCGCCGAAATTAGGACGTTTTTCAACGGGCGAAAACGACCCGTTTTTTGTCGGTAATTCGTCGGAACATGCGTCGGAGAAATTTCCGACGCAATATTCGCGTCGGAAATAAATTATCGACGCGGCCAAAACCGGCGTATGAATTTCCGCCGAAAAGTGCGACGAAAACCTATGGTTCCGTCGGAATATCTATGCTTTCCGGCGGATTTCGTCCGCCGGTAATAAGGGGTTTTCTTGTAGTGGATGAGTTTTTATTGGCTGGATATATGGTGTTTTACCTACCCGCAATTTATTTCTCTTTCCCCATTTTCTTCCATATAAATAGGGGTTGTTTTCTCACTGGTTATGGGACAATTTTTTCGAAGAATTTGCATACAAACATGCGGGTTTTTTCTAGCTTGCGAGCTAGCCTCCTTTCTCCTTCCCTTTTATTATTTCTTCTTCGTCTTCAACCTCTTCTTCTCTATCCATTGTTCTCGCCCCATCTGTATCCTTCTCTTGTGAGCTTGGTGGTGTCTGCTGTCACGTTTTGGTTGGTATTTGCCAGATGAGTGTGGACTCGTGCCATATCGTTTCAATGGTAGATTCCATGTTAGATCTATCCTTTGAGCACCTATCCTTTATATTTCGAGCTTTTCATGTGAGGTGATCGCTTGTTGGTTGTTCTAAGGGTTTATTTATATTTTCCTAAGTGTTTTTCCCTTCGAATTTCGTAAGCTACTTTCTAAAATTTGTTTCTACTTTTAGTTTTTTAAAATGTGGATGTTTATGCTTTATTGAAAGGAAGAATTTTCTAATTGCTTTCCTAAGTGTTCTTCATAAAATATTTAGAAACTTATGTTGCATCAGAGAGAGAGAGAGCAGAAAGAAAGAGAGATGGAGAGAGAGATGATGGAAGAGAGTATTTTTTATATAATATTATACATATTTTTTAGATTATATTATTTAAATATTATTTTTATATAATATTTTTACATATTTATATTAAAATAATTTTATTTTTATTAAATTAATTTGAAATGTAAGTTTTTTTAACATGATGAATATTATAACTATTTTATTTATTTTAAGATCAATGGAGAAAAAGGATTCATGTAGCCGACCCCACGTAGTGGGATAAAGGCTTGATGTTGTTGTTGTATAATGCTCCTTACGCTAATTTAATTTTTAAAGGCACTCCAATTTAAAATATCACCTCAGAAATATGCTGCCCTCTAAATTTTAATTCATATCATTTGATGTATCAAGTGGCACTTAATTCTCGCTTGACTTTAGCTAGATAAATTTATGTTGTCTATCAAATGATTTTACATGTTTGCTGATTTTTCTGTCATCATGTTGATGTTTCTTTTTTACATATTCCCTTAAACTGATTTAAACTTGGATGTATGAATTGTTTAAGCTATTATGTGCATGGGCTGTTATCAGGCAACCTTCAGCTAATATGGAACAGTTTGGAGATGTTGAAGTTGAGTCGGAGAGGCTAAATTAAAGTGTTTTTGCTGGCTTATTTTCCTTCTTTTTCTTAACATCAATTTCCAATAATTCATAGGACTCCATTGCAATTATGGACGACTCCCATTTGTTGGAATTTTTATACCCTGAACATCTTTGCAGTTTGTGAATATGCTTTGAACTAAGTTTGTTTAGACTAGAAATAAAAAAGAACTAGCCGGTTGTTCAGAGCGAACGACAAAGCTGTACATTTTTGGCACAATGTATAATGTCATGTTAGGAAAATCCTCTGACCATTTTCAGTGTTACTTGTTTAATAGGCGCTGGAGAAATCAGTTTGTTTTTTATGCTACTGACCCTTACACGATCTTAACTTTATTCGACTATGAACGTTTATTCTCTGCTTGCTTTAGTTGTCAAACCTCCAAAACTTGCAGTTTGCAACACAATATTAAAGCCAAGTAATAGCACCTGCCCTTGGCATGCGGTGTGTTAATGACATCATTTTGTTTTTCCTCAGGCGCTCACAGCACTGAAGAAAGGAGCATATCTACTTAAGTATGGGCGTCGAGGGAAGCCAAAATTCTGCCCATTCAAGCTTTCTACTGTATGCATCTGAATGCTATATGTATTAATTAGAATTTCTTTTGTTAATATTTTTTAATTATTTACCTCTTTGGCTTCCTAAATTCTATAATATATTTCTTTTAATTATTTCATGCTCATTAAATTAGTTGTAATTTGCCCTTTTCTACAATTTATGTTTCTCTGTTCTTAAAACTAATTGCTGCAAGAGTAAAGAACTTAATACTAATAGAAGCACCAATAGTAATAACTCAAAATTTTAAAATAATTACCTTTGATAGTTTCATTCATCTTAAGTCCATCTATTTTGAAATTCCGGATATACCGGCCATCATTTCTCTTCCAATGTTTCAGCAAATGCTGCTAAAGTAGCTTATTGGGAATAATCAATATAACTCTCAAGCTGAAATAAAGGGGCAAGTGTGGATGTTTCTCTTGCCTACAACATGGATACGTTTTTGCATATATTTTGATTAAAATTAGACTATGTGACATTTCATTAGTGGTAATTGCATTTCAGGATTATTTTTAAATATTATAAAAGGGTAGTTTTTATATTCTAAAACACTCCTACATTTTAAATGTACTTAACCCTCGTAAGTTATGTTTTGAAATGTTTGAAAAGTTGAATGCCTACTAAAAATCAACAACCTTATAGTCACAATCATCCATCATCATTTGCTTCATCTCAAATATTTGGGATTTTAATGAATTCTCCTTCTATATTTATTCTTGTTAAGTGTTATTTGGATGCTAACTTGATTTTGAGCATATTATACAACTTCTAAATATCTTTAAATACTTAGTAGTGAGATTTGACGAAGAAATTGCGAAAAACCAGATTTTTACCTCTCAACCATAGCTTTTCCTTTTTCCTTACCTAGACTTGCTCTCGATTTTTTTGATTTAGGTCTACACGAGAAAGCTTTCGATTGAAGGAGATTATGTGAAAGGAAGTTACTTAAATACTTAGTAGTGAGATTTGATTATGTTTAATAGAGTAATAAATTCATCAATCATTAAACACACTTCATCACCTTTCATCACAGTCATTTGATTGCATATCCACCGGTACATGCGAAGGTGATAGGTACCACTTGAGTATTTCAAGTGATTCCTATCGGATCTAAGCCAAATCACTAATAATCCGCTGTTTTCTATGGACAACAGCCACCAAGCACAAAAACAGTGGAAAAATCTGAGAAGAATCGTAGAGAGAATAGGAGAAACAATTGCAAACGATAGAAATTTCACTAGACGATGCAAAGACAATAAAGATACAAGTTTCCTTCAATCCGAGAGGAAGGAAAAACTCTCCAACAATCTCCGGCAACGCCAAGAGCCCAAGCAAGAAAACCTAGAAGACAAATCTCTTTTCAAAATCAAGATGAAACCCTAATCCCCTCATAACTCCCTATTAATACAATCTAATTCAAATTAAAAGCAAAAGGACTTCTCTACTCTTCCTTCTCCCTCCAAAAATACTTAAACTATGTTTGAATTGCAAGTGGACCCCACCCCCACCTCTATTCCCCCTTCCGCCTACTCCCTGGGAAGCCTCCGCCTCAAGTAAACCTGGACCGGCCGGTCCAGGTTGAGCCGGTCCATGCTGGACCGGCATAACAGAAGGCTAGTGAATTTGTCGGAATTAAGTTACTTCAACTAGGGGTGTAAATGAGCCGAGCTTGTCGTTAGCTGGTTTGAACTCGACTCGTTAACGAGCTCATGAGTCCAATTTATCGAGTCACGAGTTCGAACTCGAGCCTATAGTCGAGCCCGCATATTATGTGAGCTCGAGCTTAGCTAGGCTCGGCTCGTAAGCTGGTTGAGCCGCTCATTTAAATTTAAATATATTTAAGTTCTAATTTTAAAATAATATAATTCAATATATACTAAATATTTTTAATTATTTCACAAGTCAAGCTCGAGTAAATGAGCCGAGCTTGAAATTAATAATTTTCGAACAAGCCGAGCCAGAGCTCAGTAAACGAGCTCGAGCTCAGCAAGAGTTAAATAAGCTTAGCTCTAGTAGGCAAATACTCGGCTCGACGACTCATTTACATTCCTAATTACTCCTGTAATTTTAATAAAGGAAGCTTCAGAAACAAATCATTCAAATAAAAATTAATTTTATAACTTTTACATCCTTGCAAATTAACACATATTTTTATATATCAAATTAATTCATTTGATGAGCAGAGCAGAATGTCATGCTTTTTAATGATTTTTGTGAAATTTGGGATTTTAGGGTGTAATTGACTGAGGTGAGTCAAATTAGTTTTCAACCTTAGGAAACATTGAGCATTACAAACTTTGCGCCAACCTAAGGGCAAGGGTTTTTTTATAGAAAGGAGAAACTCGAAATTTAAGACAAAAGTCAGATAGATCCCATCGTAGATGAGCCAAATATTCATAGAGGATTTACATGGTATTGAGCACCCACCAATGCAATTGGATCTCGTTGGAGGCAGCAACATCATGCCGCATGTGAAGGACTGAATGGTCTGGTTCAACCAAGACATCTATACACGAGACATTTTAGCCTTTTTCGCAACCTTTTGGGAATAAAAAAATGTTTTTTTAAGAGTCGACATATTCATTGTGCTGAACTGGACCTTTTGTGAGATTTTTGCATTGTTTTGAGCTTGTTCGGTCACTTGATTAATTTTGAGTAAATTGATTGTTGGCTTCGTTCTTTTGAATTGCTTGCGCTTTTCATTAAAGTTGTGCTATTTTTTTTAGAAAAAAGCTTTTTTAATAACCCAACTAAATTAATATTTATTTTGGAAGGAAAGAAAAAAAGGCATGTAAATTAAAATTGGAATGTAAGATTGCGCTTGGAAATTTTCTTATAATCTTGACAAAATATGGTTTTTTTGGCTTTATATTATCAACATTATATTTTTGGCATGTCACATTTGCAAAAATGTAATAACCAATATATTGCAACTTAATATTTGCAATATTATCGGATAATAATTGTTATGCCTGATCAACTATAATGTATCTCAAGGTATGCAATTTCTATAGCATTTGGCAGAAGGGACTCATCTGTTAAACATGAGAATCGTACTTATCCAGCTGTTTAGAACTTCTACACTAGCTTTACTAGGATCTCTTTAATTTGAAACCTTCTTATGTTGTAGCAAATATTGCTTAAGAGCTTTGGAACTTGGATTCAAAAACTTAGAATTACGAAACTGGAATTGGGCACTAATATATTAGAACTACCACATGAATGGTATGAATTATATTTGAAGATTATTGCGTCAGTCATTGCTGTACACCCCAGTTTTGGTGCTTCTTATGACACTGCAAGTTGCAAAGTATCTAATTGCTATTATCTCTTACACTTTATTGATATTGCTTTATTCCCAAAATGTCATGCATTTCTACTGATATCGTGTTTGGTAAACTGTGTTTGTAGACACGAGCTAGAAATTTCTTTCTAGTGCCAGTGGCCAATACTGTTTTGAAGTCATCCAACCCTTTTATTCCATTAGTGATACATATTTTTAACAGAAAAAAAAAGCCATTGTTTTTAAACTTTATCCAATTTTCTTCAAGTCTTAGATTAAAGTGTTGCCCTGTTCTGTTGGCTAAACTTTAATTATGTATTCTTTAATTTTCAGGACGAGATTTCGTTGATCTGGTATGCTGGAAAAGACGAGAAGCAACTCGTACTTAAATCTGTTTCAAAAATTATACCTGGACAACGTACCGTAAGTATATTTTCCTGCAATTCTAGTAGACACGATTGATTTGACAGTTTCCACCATCTGTTAAGCTTCCGGAAAAGATAATTTTTGTGGAGGCTGAAAATATTATTAGAATTTTTAAATCACCTGCTAATATTTTAAATTGCTTTTGACTTGCCGTATATTGCAGGATCTCTATAAAGGAATTTTGTTTAAAATTTTCCCGGGCTCTATATGCAAATAAAAACTAGCATTGCACATAAACATTATCTTGTTCTCGAGGATATGCTCATTTCATACCAACTCAACTTAAACCCAAAAATGAAAGGAGATTGCAATAACCAAAATCATAGGTGCTCTGTTATTGTGTTTCAGGGCTGTTAACTGCATGAACTTGAAATGTTAATTTATTTGATTGTGGCATAGGCGTAAATGCCATATTAATAGAAAGCTAGGAACCTTTTGCATGGAAGCATATAGTTGTATAAGCTATTTAGAAAATCATGTTCATGCTTGCCTTGATCGACTTAAAGAATGTGACACATTTTATCATGTTTATTGGATCCAAAATGTTTGGTGGAAAATAGTTGAAGCCTAGTTGAGATCGCTTGACTATAAAAAAATGCTGTGATCGGTAGAAGATTGAGTCGGATCGCCAAATGTCCTAACTAAATTTGTACAAAGAACTTGATCGTATTCTTCATAAAAATTGAAAAACTTGACTAAGCAAAAGTTCATGAACTCAAAGAGAGGAAAAGAGAGTAATAACTCTAGATTTGCTGAGAATTTCCTAGAATGTTTTACCTAATGTTGCATAGCTGCTCATAATGCTTGATTCCCTATTTACAAAATGAGGCCAAGGTTGACGCTACAAGATGAGTTATATAGGATTCAAATCACCATGATGGTAGTTAAATATAAGATGTTGCTAGTTGTGCAATGACCGAGTAGTCATCTCACTTGTTTGCAAGTATCTCTATTGAGCACAGCCTAGAGAAGGATAAGGGCAAGCTTTTCGGGTGAGTACTGTGAGTACCATTAGTAGAATGTTTTTTGCACCCTTGAATGGGTATGTAAAGACCGGTTCAGCTGCACTGGCTCCCCCTATTTAATAGAAGCTCGCGGGAGGGAGATCGCAGTCCAGGCGGACCGCAAGCGACGCGCTTGCGTGCGTAACGCTTCCTGAACGGCTCAGATTGCATCATTGATTGGATTTCCGTATAAGGATGAAAAGTAACGACTCCTCTCACGGGATATTGTTAGTTCACTCATTCCGGCAGAAGAAATCGCGAGAGGAAAAGTTCCTGTTGAAGAGGAACGGCTGAGAGGAAGAAAGAAGAAGAATGTTTGTTTTTTTTTCTATGTGTATAAATCCTTACTTATTTCTTCATCTAAACAATGAGGGTGTTTCATTAAGGGCAAAGGAAAAGATTTGAAAATTGAGAGAAAGAATTTGGGAAATGAAGAAGAAGAATTTTGGGTTGGAATAATCCTCTTTTTGTAAGTGATTTTCTTATCATACATATTATGTTAGAATTTGTAGAATAAAATTATTAAAATTTATTTTATGACAATTTTAGAAGGGAAAGGAAGAAATCAAAAATAGGAGGGAGTCCGACTCAGTAAGAAAGAAAGGTCCTTTGAGGTAAAAGATACGAGTTAAGAATTTTATGTCTTATCTATTTTGGAGAAATTCTTAATGTTAATATCGATTGGATTATAAAGAATTTAACTAATCTTGTGTGGAGGTGAAGTCTCGACACTAATAAGAGAATTTTCCGGGAGATCAAAATTGTAGTAAGAAAGATCGGCACAGGAGTTGAAAGTTGGAAAGTATTGAAGCCAAGACCTACAAGTGGGTAATCATTGTGTTTAGACATTTAATTGTTGCACTTATATTTATCGTTGAATTTCTTGTTAAAATTTTCTAAGTAATAATTTTACTTATCTTATCATGTTATCATGTGAAAGGATTTAATTGTATATGTGAGTATGAAATTTTGACATTTAATGAATTTAAATGTATGATATTATGAATATAAATGTATATGTAAAGAAAAAGGAAGTGAAGAAAGAATGAGAACAAGAATGACATTATCTATATCATAAATAAAAAGCATAAATGAATGAATGATAAAAGGGAAAATGATATGCAGGCAAATTACAGAAGTCACCCCCGTATGGTACTAGCTTAGGAAGCAATGTACCCGTGCACGTTAAATTGAAATGGAAAAGGAAAAGAGAAAAGAAAATGAAAATGATTGTACCTTTGGTACATTTAGATGGTGCTCCTGTACTAATTAAATAGGAAAATGAATATATGTTAAAGTAAAGTATTTTATGTATGTAAATGAATATGTTATGAGATGTATAAACAACTGGATGAAATAAAATGAAGAAAGAAAAGAAATATATGTCACTTGTTAAATGAATAGACTTACATTAGAAATTGGTTGTATAGTACTTTATACATGATAATGATTACCTTATGAGTTTACGCTGTAAGCTCAACCTACTAAATTAATGTTTCAGGTAAATTTCCAAAGAAGAAGAAATGGATGAAAGGAAATAGTGCGTTTATAGAAGACGGCGCAACATTGAAAATATATAAATTACGACTGATGCGAATGCTTAGTTTTGGCATAGATTGATTAGAGTTTTTTTGAGGTTAGTGGCTCTTCAATTGTTGAAAAGCTTTATGTTAATGTGTTATTAAATAAAATGAAATATTACTACTGTCCGACTTGTCATTCCCGCCTCGTTAGATCGACCATTCGGGTTGAGTCGTGACAGGGTACAAGTTTTGAATCATTTGGTCAAGTTAGACAACTGTGTGAGAAGTTTTTATATGGTAGCTTGGTGCTTAGTGACATATGATGACACTTTATGGTTAATTTCTGATTTTAACTTTGCTTGAGTTGATTTAACATTCATTGGTTCCTTAGGTCTAGTTTAATTATATTTTTGACTTAGTTCATCTTTCCCAAATGTATATGGGTTTGCAAGGATATAAAACATTTGTTAACATTGAGAAGCTAAAATTAATCAAATATATGTAAGCTTGGACTTGATCATCTCCAAACATTTGTTAACATTGAGAAGCTAAAATAAATCAATTTGTTAAAGTCTAAACCTTTAAAATTAATTAACTAATAATAGCAACTAATTTAATTAATAACTAAATTAAAATACTTTAAAATTTAAAATGATTAAATGGACTGAGCAATCAATTTTAAATTAAAAATTAATTAATTGAGCAAATAAAATTTAAATTTAATTAATAATTAAACTAAACATAAATTGAATAAATGTAAAATACATTTAATTTAATTAACAAGCTGAGTGATTAATTAAAATTAACTTTAATTAAAAATTCATTTAATTAATTAACACAATTAATTCAAAATTAAATAAAATGCATTAAAAAAATAAAAAGTAATGTTCACATCATCAGACTTTGGATACAACTCACTCTAAAACCCAAACTCCTAAAAAAAAAACTAATCAAAGCATAAAACAAAAAGAAAGCTCTAAAAATCCTAAACTAAACACCTTCAACTCCTATGCAAAGCTCTCCAAGCTCACCTCCTAGTAAACCCTGCAGTTGCAAGCTCCAACTTCAGTAATTACTAGCCACAACATACCTGTAAATAACCAAACAAAGCATTAGTACAATGTACTAAAGCGAACTAGTAATAGTAAAACAAAACTTTGGTGGTGATTATGAGTAATCTCTTGGAGATGCAATCAAAAACTCCATCGGTGGTTCCGATGGCCAACCCTAACTAAGTTTTGATTGTGATTTCCTTGGCTGAATCGAAGGGAATGAGATTAGACAGGAGTTCGATGAGAGTTTCTTTCATCAAGAGCCACCTCTTGGGGCTCCGATAAGGGGCGAATCAGGGTTTCCGAATGAGGGGACAACAATGAGGGAATTTTTTGGTGGAAGTGTTAGGGTGGCCAACCACTATGGAAGACATTTCGGGCAAGGGGATTGGGTCATCGGAGAAGGAGGTGGTCAAGAACCACCTCCTAGGGCTCCGATAAGGGGCCGAATAGGATTTTCGGAGGGGGGGGGGGACAACAGGAGGGGAGTTTTGTGGTGAAGGTGGTGGGGTGGTCGACCATGATGGGATGTCTTTTGGGCAAGGGGAGTGGACGACTAGAGATGGAGGGGGATGGGCCGAACCATGGGGATTGGGTCATGTAAGATGGAGGGAAGAAAGGTGAGATTCTCACCCTCGATATACGGGGGAAATATGGAGGGATAATGACAACCGTTACAATGGAGGAGGAAGAATCTATTGGGGCGGTGATGATCTTACGATGGCAATCCTAGGGCCGTTGCATCCTAGCCTTGATGTGAAACAAGTTGAATATCTTGCAGCAATACTTGCACTTATTCATCCCAGTTCTCAAGAATTTAGTTCGTATGGCGGAAGAATAGATGCAGACCCATATGTTTTACCCATTCCTAGACATTTCATGACTTTTATGCAATCTAGAGATGCCAGATAGCTCTTTTACAACTTCCATTGAGATAATGCCCCAACCGAGTTTGTTTTGCATAAGCACGTCTTACCATTTGTTCCCCTTAACCAAAGCTACCAATTTGTTCTCAACATCATGGGTTTATTGTTCAGAAGGTACTTATCAAGTAGAAGGATTTGCTAGAGCACGAAGCCACATGGGAACCTTATGAGTTGATTAGGAGACAGTTCTCATCCTTCCACCTTGAGGACAATGTGCATTTTTGAGGGACTATTGATACGCTGGGGGGCTCACCGCCAGAAGGGGGAGCTATTTTGGAAGGTTTATAATCAAGAGGGAGTTGTTAAGAAAAGTTCCTAATTAAGGAAAATTGTCTATGACGGTTCCTAATCAAAAGGGGAGTTGTCTAGGAAAGTTTCTTAATTGTGTTTATACTGTTTTGAAAGTGTTTAATTGTTTGTGAAGGTTTTTTAAAATATGTTTAATTGTTTAGGAAAGTTTGTTAAATCATATTTAATTTTTTAGGAAGGTTTTATGAATCTTGTTTAATTATTTAGGAAGGTTTCCTAAATTATGTTTATGTTGATTAGAAAGATTCTATTTATTTAGAAATGTTTCCTAAATTATGTTTGTGCTGATTAGGAATGTTCTAATTGTATTAGTGTTCTAAGGCTATTTAAGGCGGAGTTTATCTATAGTTTAGGGTATGATATTGTTGAGTTTATTTTCCTAGTGTTTGTTATGAGTTCTTAGCAACGTCTAGGGTTTGTGGGAGAGTTGATCTACCTCTCAAATGGTAGATCAATTGTATCTTGCTTTTTTATTGAAGAAAATAAAGAAAGAAAATCAACCCTATCTTGATGTTCTTACGCTATTTTTATCTTTTATTTGTTATTTTGCGTCCAAGGCATATCACCATTCTACTATGATGGATATAGTTATCATTAATCTTAATTTAGGGGATCCTCACCATAAAAAATGCTCTCTTAAATAAAAAAATAATATAGGCCCTATGTATTTATGTTGGACATAATTCTAGCAAATTATTAAAAAGAGAATTCCATCATACTCTAGCTCCTATATATATATAAGTCAAGCAATAGCTGTTTGTTTCACACTCATAGCAGCCATACATCAATTTGTTAAGGTTATCAAATTTAAATTTGGCTTACGCTCACTAAATATAGATATAATATCAAGTATGTCCATAAAAATTTTGTTCTAATAAGTACGTGACTTGTATTTACTGATCGGTTGATTAGTCTGATTGCAATAATATCATTATATTATAGTTATAACCTAAGCTTGAATGTTCCTCAATCGTTAGCCTATGAATTATGAGCAATAAAGCACACTCGATAGGGAGACTTGTTGTTCGTCAAGGTCTGCTATTAAATTGACCAATTTGAGAAAGCTTTCACCCGGTATCTATGAAGTCCTTATGAATGAGGCAACCTATGATTGCTGACAAGGATCCTTTAGTCAAGTTGGATTGAGTATCTTTGCTAAGTAGATTAGGCTCATGACAACTTTGTACAACAAAATCATGAGGTCTTTGTTGGGTTCTTTGTCATTCTCGCACCATCCTCTTTGAGCGATTAGCGGTATATTCCTTACTCTAATTCAAATTTCTTCTGCTAAAATAAAATATCATAGAGTCCCTAGCATAGCTTTGATCAAAAGTTCTCTATTTTGTTTGAGAAAGGTGATTAATCATATGAACTTGGATTTATTGAAAACCTTGAATTAGATTACAAAATCCTCATATTTATGAGAAAATGAAATAAAAAAAAAGATTACAAAATCCTCATATATGGGTGAAACCATAGTGTGGTGTTGTATTTAATATCCAACATTCCTTATGAAAAGTCAACTTGGAATCACTCGGGTATCTAAGATCATAGATTTTCAATTCTATAATTGGATTGAATGACTCCTTACAAATCGAACTAGGGTTGAATTGGCTCAGATTGGATTGTTAACCACCCTACTTTCCAATACACCTAAATAGTTTCTTTTGTATGTTTTAGCATGTAGTATAATGCAGACGTATGCAATTGCTTTAATCTTACCTTCCTTGGATGAAGAAATTTTAGTCTGATGCATTTTTTGCAACAAGAAATCTTCAATCATGGACTACAAAGATTTATGGAAATGTTTTCGTCTGTCTCTGCCCAAGGAAAGTGTTGTTTTTCAAGTTTATGATGTGTTTTTGAATTGTATAATTTGGCGAAAAATCCAAATTGCATGGGTGCCAAGTACTTGATTTAATTTTTTTACTCCACCCATGATAGCTGAATTAAATGCGTTTATTCAATAGAAAATGTTATAGCACGCACACACACACACAAGTTCTCTATGCTTAGCATGTTATGCTTTTCTTTTAGCCACCAATTGTTTGACGTATGCTTGTTGATAATACCAATCAGCTGATTATATTTTGCACAGATAGTTTAGTTGTGTGAAATTTATTCTTAAGTAGATTCTTCATGATCAATTTTAGCATATTTGTAACGTTTTTAAATTAAAAACTCCGAAGTATTTCCCCTCCTATTAATGATTAGCGTACTCGTACTTTTGTGCTTCTTTTTTGTGTTATAAGCTGTAGGCTGCATAAGGTTCAGATAAGTGTTTTCTTTCTTGAATTTATGAGTCTTACTTTTTTTCCCGTCTTTTTGAAGCTATTTAATATATTCTATGTTATCTTTCTTATTTCAGGCAATTTTTAAAAGATTTCCCCGGCCAAATAAGGAATATCAGTCATTTTCTTTAATATATGGGGATAGATCTTTAGATCTGGTTGGTATTCTTCCATATTATCTTTTCCCCTTCGTTTTTTTTTTCTTTTCCCCCTTTGGAGTATCAAAGCAGTATTTAGCATCAAATGTGGCAGCATGCAACGATTTTGTTTGTTGAGCATATTATAATCATAGAAATAAAACCAACCATATATAAGGTCATTAAACAGATATGCAAGGACAAGGATGAAGCTGAAGTTTGGTTTGTTGGCCTGAAGGCATTAATTTCTCAAGGAAATCGTCAAAATTGGAGATTTGAATCAAAAAATGAAAGATCTTCAACTGACACTAATAGTCAAAGTACAGATAGTAGAAGAGATTCTCCCTTGATTCATCCACTAGTTGCCAGTGATTCCTTGAACAAGGTAGTAATTGTATTTCCGGAACAAAGTACTACAAACCTCTTTTCATTAAGTGTCTTCTTAGCCTATCTTTCTAATGTTTACTTTAGGGTTCTAGAGGTGCTAAAATGAACCACATGTCATTTGAAGATCATTCTATTATTGGTCTTGGAAAGGTGTTCTCTGATGTTATATTAAATTCTTCATCAACAAAGTGTTCCCTAAATTCAAATTCAGCTATAAATTCTGTTGGTTCATTCTCATCTGGAGCTGGGGATATTTTAAATTCACAGAGCTCCTCTGTTGATGCTCTCAGAGTAAGTTTATCTAGTGGTGTAAGTTCATCCAGTCATGGCTCCGGGCATGTTGATTTTGATGCATTGGGTGATGTTTACATTTGGGGAGAAGGTATAGGTGGCGGGGTACTTGGTGGTGGCACACACAGGATCGGAACTCTTTCAGAAGCTAAATTTGATGCTTCTTTGCCAAAAGCGCTGGAATCAGCTGTAGTTCTTGATGTTCACAGTATTAGCTGCGGCAGCCATCATGCAGCCATAGTAACTAAACATGGGGAGCTCTTTAGTTGGGGAGAAGAATCTGGAGGTAGACTTGGTCATGGAGTTGATGCTGATGCTTCCTACCCAAAGCTTATTGATTCTCTCAATGGCGTAAATATTGAACTCGTGGCATGTGGTAAATTTCACTCCTGTGCTGTCACTTTCTCTGGTGATCTGTACACATGGGGGGACATCAGTTATAGTTGCTGTCTTCTTGGGCATGGAAGTGTAGCCAGTCATTGGATTCCAAAAAAAATTGGCGGTCCCCTTGAAGATCTACATGTATCGTCGGTATCTTGTGGTCCATGGCATACAGCTGTAGTAACTTCTATGGGTCAATTATTTACGTTTGGTGATGGAACATTTGGTGCTTTGGGACATGGAGACCGCAGAGGCACCAATGCTCCGAGAGAAGTTGAGGTTTTAAAGGGAATGCGTACTGTGCAGGCAGCTTGTGGTGTCTGGCACACTGCCGCTGTTGTTGAAATTTTGGATGATAATTCAGATTCTGGTAGCTCCTTATCCTGCAAAATTTTTACTTGGGGAGATGCAGATAAAGGTAGACTTGGACATGGTGATAATGAACACAGACTTATCCCGGCTTGTGTAACTTCTCTTTCTGAGCCAAACTTTCGTCAGGTTGTTTGTGGGAATGACATAACTGTTGCTCTTACTTCTACGGGAATGATTTTCACAATGGGAAGTACACTTTTTGGACAGTTGGGAAATGTTGAGGCCGATGGAAATAGCCCTGCTTGTGTTGCTGGAAAGATCTGCACCAGTTTTGTTGAAGAGATAGCTTGTGGTTCCTATCATGTTGCAGCTTTAACGTCGAAAACTGAAGTCTACACTTGGGGTAAGGGTGCAAATGGCCGTTTAGGCCATGGAGATAATGATGATCGTGTTTTACCAACGCTAGTTGAAGCTTTGAAGGACAAGCACGTTAAGAGTGTTCAGTGTGGTTCAAATTTTACCGCTGTCATCTGCTTGCATAAAACAGAATGTGGCGCTTATCAGGCTGTATGCTCTGGCTGTCATCTTTCATTTTGCTTCAGAAGAAAGCGACACAATTGTTACAACTGCGGCTATGTATTCTGCAAAGCATGCAGTAGCAAAAAGTCTGTAAGGGCATCTATGGCACCTAACTGTAACAAGCCATATCGTGTCTGTAATGACTGCTATGACAAGCTGAGGAGCGCTATAGGAAATGGCTTAGGTACAAGAGTTACCACACATCAAAATGGAATGGTATATGAAATGTCTAATGAACTGGTTGAGAAGGATGCTGTCGATTCTAAGACTCAGGGACAGGGATATTTTTCCAGTCTTTCTTCCGTTCAGTCATTCAAGGGTGGAGGCGGAAATTCTAAGCATGACTTTAAATCTAGATCAAATAATGGAAGGGTTCCTCCAACTCTTCATGAAAACTATGAATGGGGAAGTGCTCATTCAGTAAGCTTCTCGAATCTTCTATGCATGTCTCCTAAGAAGGTTCTATCTGCATCTCTTCCAAATTCAAGAGCAGCAACTACCTCAATCTCTACATCTTCCAATTGGACGTACTCATCTTATTTGACTGTCACTCCAACTTTGACTGATTTTGCTTCCGGTTCCCCTGAGGTGATGGCTAATAATCCCAAGCTGACAAATGACAGTCTAAGCCAAGAAGTTGTTACTTTGAAGCTAAAGGTAACTGCTTCATCATTGCTATGCAAGCCTTGGTGTTACAAATTTACACTTTTTTTTAAATGAAAAATTTTTAATTGCAATTCTCTTGTCATTGCAATCAAGGTTAGAGTAACTCTTGTAGTTTTTTCGGACAACATTTTTTTTTTTTTTAGCAAAATTGAAGTTTAGTGACTCTCCTTTTCATAATCCAAACTTCAGCTGCAGACTTATATTGGCTAGGAAGATGCTTTATGGCCAAGTTACCGGAAGCTATGTTAGGCATCTTTTGTCACGATCCTTTAGTTTATCATGTCGGAACTGATTGATTTATTATCAATATACATGTCAAGCCTTTTATATTTGCATTGAAGTCTTATTGTGGAGTTAAATATTGTACCTCATTGTTATGAACTTACCTTTCTAGTAATTAGCTCCACTAAAGATATGAAGTTACAAAAACATTATCTTCATTTAGCTTATCCCAACATGGAAAATTGATCATATTAAAATTTCATTATTTTCTACAAGAGAAAAGGGCCAAGATGGTCCCTTGAAAGGCCGAAATGGTCCCCAATTATATTAATGGGCCATTCTGGTTTCTCAAATCCTTAAAGAGGAATCAAAATAGTCTCACCATGAGATTATTTTAATTCCTTTTTAAAGACTTGAGCCAAAATAATCATTTAATATAGTTGGGGTCCATTTTTGTCCTTCATAAAGAGCCAAGGTCCATTTTGATCATTTTCTATTTTTTTTTTATAAATATCATATGATATATCGGCTATAATCTTTTGGGATTGTGAACCGATCTTTAAAAAATTCTCTTGATTTATGTTTTGCATGTCTAAGAGGGCTTGGGAGTTGGGGCAATGGATTATATTTCCTCCTTTCTAAACTGAAGGTTATATATTCAAATTAAAAAACAACCTCATTTTAATAAAGAATTATAGATTTATGCATTTACCCTCCTTGGATCCTACATGAACATGGGCCTCATGCATTTGGATCACCCACACAAACATGTACGTAAAGGTTTTTGATGAAGGTGGCATCTCATCAATGGGGTCCTCGGTAGGGGTTTATTCATGTAGCCTTTTCTTATAAAAATCATTCTTGGCCCATGAATGAAACATTTGCAAGGATCTTGGTTTCACTAAGTGTGTCATATTGATTTAGTGTGAACAAGCACCAGTAAAGAGTTCTAAAATGGCCATGATGATGTTTGGTTGGAAGGTTTCAAAATACATGCATTTTATAAATGCAAAATAATTGGTATACTTGAGTTATAACACATAGTTGTTTGGTTGGATGCAAATCAAATACATTAAAAATCAAATAAGAAAGATTGCACAATTCATTTATTTTTTTATAGCTTTAGACCAATAATTAAAAATAAGAGAGCAAGAGAGAGTATTTTACATGTATCCTAACAAACACTATATATATATATATATATATATATATATGAATTGTTCGATCTTTTTTACTTGATTTTCTAATTAATAATCTAAATCTATTAGAAAAAACTTAGTTCACGCCTCACAGAATAAAAGTGAGTGCTAGAAAAACTTAAGACAAGTAGAAAATATTAAAGATACATTATTCATTTATTTCAATATGACAACTAAGTCGCCTAAATTTTGCCTTTCCTAGATGTATAATTCATCAATGTGAATAGTAAATAAATTTATATGTCATTTTATAATGAAAAAATATTCAAGAATCAGTCAAGGAAACTTATTTGGAGCATACAATATTACGTACCTGTAGTAGATCGCTTCCCTTGAGCATCCTTCAATCCCTTCGAGATCAGAGAATGTTGTATTGTCAATCCCAGGTTAGATGCCTGCACCAAATTCTCATGTGGTGGTGGCATATCCTATTCATCCCTTTTATCACTCCCCCCTCTCTCTCTCCCCCCCTTATCCAGATTACCTCTCTATCCTCCATATCAGTTGCGGAACCATTGGCATATGATCAACATTGTCCATTAATAGATCTTTTCCTCCAAAAAAAAAATGAGGAGATAAGCAGCACGGAAGATCGATCAAGGGGGAAACGTAGATACAAATGAACATGGGTAAGAGGTGACGGGGTGAGCGGGCAATTGCTTCAATAATCATGTTTGAAAATCAATCGATTTGGGTGAATTTCAAATGTAAGGAAAATAAAGGGGGTAAAGTATTTCAAATCCCTCAAAATTTAATTTACTTCACATTTCATTTGTTTTAAATCAAACTAAAATGGTTTAAAATGTAGGTAAATGGAGTGCACACTCTTGTTGCTTCAAACCAAATATCCCTATGCAAGTTTTATATGCATTGAACTCAATGGAGCTATGTTTAATGTTTGAAGTCCCATGCCCCATGTTTGTCTTAATTTTCCTCTAAGATTGGTCTATTCCGCTGCCATCTTTGAGTTGAAGTGGAAAATGTAACCATCTACTTTATCAGTGCCACTTAAATGAATGATAGATGTAACTTGGAGATCAATGATGAAACTTATGAGGACATCCATAGGAAATTTCAACACACCTACCATCGGAGGGGTTGTCGAGCGACGGCTACGATTCATAGTCTCTATTTCTGATGTTTTATTTTTATTCATGTCATTTATATTTTATGTTTTCCACTTGTACCCCTATGAGGAAGTTATTGCATATTGTAGCCCAAGTGCAATGTCGTCTTTATGGTTTTTATTTTCGGATAGCCTATATAAAGGCTTATTCATTGTATTTGGAGTTGAGTTTTTGATGAAATGAAAATTTGCTCTTATGTTCTCTTTGTGAGTTCATTCCCCTTTTATCTCTTAGTGAGTTTTCGGAAGAAATAGATCTCTTTGTGAGTTCTATGTTTATTTCAAAGTTTTCTTTGTGAGGATTTGAGATTGGGAACAATCAAGGTGAGTGAATCTGTGGCCATTCGAATCCCTATTAATTTTCTCTCTTCTTTCCCCTTTGATCCGTGCCGCCGCCCCTCCCTGGATTGGCCAAGCCGCCGGCCCCAGGCAGCCCCCACCCGCCGGCGGTCCAACCCCACCCCGTCCCCCCATGTCCCCCCCCTTGAAGCCGCCGGCCTCTCCCCTTGATGAATTTGAAATTTGAAATTCAAACTTGTTCCAAGAGCCATTGAAGACTTTTCTAAAATATCTCCATGATTTAAGGCTATCATATTAAATTGGGTTTCAATTTGAATTTGAAATTCAAATTAATCCTAGTTAATAGCCTTTTTTTATTTGGAAACTTCCCTTTCTCATAAAATTTGAAATTTAAATTCAGATTTTATTAAAACCTTGATTAGTGACGTGGATCCCACTCACTAATTACAATTACTCTCTCCTCTCTCTATGTGTGGCCGGCCCCCCTCTTATCCTTTTCTCTCTCCACTTGCCACCTAAGCCTCCATTAAGTAGCCAATTAATTCCCCCTAGCAACTACCCCTCTCTCTAGCCTAATTTAGGGAGATTCTAATTGCAATTAATCTCTCCCTCTATCAAAGAAAATATGAAATTCAAATTCAGATTTTCTTAAAACAAAATCTCCCTCCAAATCCCAACCCATAGCCTCCTCCCCACTCCCAAATCGATGACATCCCTCCTCCCTCCTCCAAGGCCACGGTTCCACCATCTCTCCCTCTCCCTTGCTCACGGCAAGCTCTCCCACCTCTCTATTTCTTCTTCCCTATTCAATCCCACCATGCATGGTGGATCCCGATATTGATAGCGGATTGGTATTCGACGTCTACGGAGACATCCACATCACCAGTTCACCGTTCTTCGACATCTGATTTGGCTTCGACGACACGATTGAAGATTATTTGAACCGCATCCTTCCCACTCTCGCGGACGTCATAGACGATCAATTCCAAGACTACGATTGGACCATCACCGGACATCTACCCGCTTCCCCACCTCCACCGCCGCCGCCTCCCTCGCCATCACTACGGATCGTCGGCACCGTCTACCTCGGAGTGATTTCGTTTCTTGTATGGTTCGTCTTCCTAGACGTATAAGAGTGACTTTGAGCCTCAAGGTGAGATGATCGCTTTGTTAACCGTCGGATTCTAGTTGACTAATCATTTCATTACTTTTGTTTAAATTGTTATTTTAAAGAACTTGCAAATTTAGTTGTGATGGATTGCCTAAGGATCGTTTACTTCTAAGATCTTTCTTGAGTTTTCAATTTTGAGAAGCTTTAAAGTTATTTTATCATTGCTCCAACAAACTTTATTAATCTTTAAGAAAAGGATTCCTGGTTTCACATCAGAAACACTATGAATGTGGTTTCAAAATATTCCATCTAGGATACAGCTTACTCCTAAGGCACATCCTAGGCCATTCAATAAACCTCTCTTCACCTTAGTGAGAGTTTATTAGAGATGCATATGTTGACCTCCTGTATAAAAAAAAAGCAAAAAAAAAAAAAAAAAAAAAAAAAAGAGAGATCGTGCATACCTGCTCTGCTGAAACTCGTCGCATGTCGCATGCTACTTGCACGTCGATGTTGCTTCGTCGCACGTCGCACGCTACTTGCACGTCGATGTCGCTTTTTCGCACGTCGCACGACTCTCGCGTCGTTAAAGAGCCAAAGAGAGGAGGCCTTCGGCCTCTCTCCCTCATTTTTTTCGCTCACTCGAACCTCCCACTCTCAACCTCTTCCGTTCCCTCTCTTTCTCCCGCACAATTCTTCTGCTCCTTCGTGGACTTTCGATTTCGCTCCTTTGCCGCTGCCCGACGTTGCTCCTTGAACGACCTTCCCTTCCTGCGGCTCGGAAGTTACTACGTTTAGATCGGAAGCAACGGACGGGAGCTCGCCGTTGTGAAGTAACTTCCTCCCTTTGGAAGGCTTCTCCGGTTCCTTCGTTGGTGTCCGATCTCGCTCCTTCGATGATACCTTCTGTAGGATCGAAAGTTAATACATTTTGATCGGAACAACGACGGGAGCTCGCCGCTAGTGAAGGTAACCTGGTCCCTTCTATGCGCTACCTCGACCAAATCCAGCGAACCCGCCAGCTTCTTCCCCC